ACAGAAAGCAAATAAAACAACAATTCAATAAGCAAGCGCCTCTTAGTATACTAAGCTATATGCTGTCTGTTAGTTTTTTTTCACTTAAATGAGCATCATTTAAGTTCTTTCACTTGGTTTATTTTAGAATTTACCAACCTTTAATATAAAAAACGGTTTTTATAAGAACCATTTGTTAATAAGTTTCTAATTTTTTAATCAAAGTTTAATTTTTCTAATTATTTTTCAATTGAAAATTCATTTTTTTCACTTTCCTATAAGACTTAAGGTCACGTTTCCGCTAAGCTAGCTCCATGAAAATAATTTGGTTTATAACGCTATCTTCCTATATTATTATTGTTTTTATTATTAGTAGGAGTAGAAGTAGTAGAAGTAGTAGTAGCAGCAGTAGTAGTAGTATTAGTAGTAGTATTAGTATTTGTTGTTGTTGTAGTTTTTCTGTTCTTATTGTTATCTTCTCATTATCTTACCAAATATAAATTTATAAATTTTTCAAAAATTTTTATTTTCAAAGAGCATTTGAATTTGGCACATTAATTTTTTCCAAGACTTTCATCTCTTTCCGTCCGGAATTTATTTTATTCTTTGGATTTTTATTTGTTTTTTAAAAGTAGAATTAGAAATGATTTTTATTTGAAAATAAAACATTTGCAAACGTTCAAGCGAGTTCTTAAAGTATAAAGCATCTCAACTATCATCACCGTCATCGTTATCATCATCACCACCATCATCATCACCATCACCATCATTACTTTCATAACAAATTGAATCTTAGCAGACGTTAAACATCATCATCATTTTCATTATTATCAATATCATCATCGCCATCATCATCGTCATCACTGTCATATTTATCATAGTTTTTACAGAATTGTTATCATTTGTTAAACTTTCAACCTTCTGATTGCAGTTACAACTGTTAAAATCATCATTAATCATATTGTGATCATTGTTGTAATCAGTGTTGTAATCATTATTAAACACGTTGGAATCATAAAGTAATCATGTTGCAATCATAATGTAATCATAATGTAATCATAATGTAATCATAATGTAATCATGTTGTAATCATGTTGTAATCATGCTGAAATTATATTGTAATCATATTGTAATCATAATTACGATGATGATGATGATAGAAAATATTCAATTATATAATTTTATCCATCTTAGTTTGCCCTATTTTTAATCAACCTCAAACGCAATGTGCTCCTGACGTTGTACTGCTAGTTGTATTGTAATAATCAGCCGTGGTGAATTTGTTTGTAATCATCATCGTCATTATCTTTAGCGTCATTATCATCAGCAGCTTTAGCAGCAGCTTTAGCAGCAGCATCACCACTATCTTCATCATCATCAGACTCGTCATCATCATCAGATTTATCGTAATCACTATTTCATCAACTTAATCATCGTCATTTCCATCGAAGTCTTTATCGTCATCACCATTGCTATCTTTACCATTTGTCATCGTCATCATCTTATTTAACATCTACTTCATCATAATATTAATCTTCATCTTCGTCATCATTGTAATTATCATCTTGATCATTTTTCTTCAAGTTGAAACACCATGTTCATCGTCCTTATCCTCTCTGTCGCACATCATCTCAGAGTTGAAACACCTAAGAATACACACACACACACAAACACACACCACACACACATACATACATACACAAACACAAACACACACACATCCATACATAAATACGTAGTTTCATTCGTTCACACTTAATTGCAAACGACAGACCGACCGCGAAATAGAAACATCCTTTTATTAAACGCCCCTTGAGCATGTGCCTTCAAAATTGTTGACGTAAAATTTTAATAAAAATAAAATGAAGAATGTGAATTGTTATGAAATGTTCAACTCAGCTGATATTTACAAGGAAAACAAACTATAAAATCGTGTTCATGACATTTTAGTAAGAATCTGAAACACCATCTCGTACATGATACAATATGCGTATTGATTGTTTGGTAAAATAAAATTACGTTTCTCAAAAATTTTGGCGGCGCGTTAGTCTAATGGTTAAGGAGCATGGCATTGCTGTTGCAATGACTGGATTCAAATGCAAAAAGATCCCAAGCTATCATACGATCTGTGTGTGATGCTTTGTTTCGAGTGTGTGTATCTCTACGTAACTGCTTGTTTGTTGCTGATGTCTGAAGTATTAATAGAAGAATGGTAAAAAAAAATTGAAAATGGATAAATATGTGAGAAGCCTGATCATCATGTTTTTGCTATTTGGAGAGACTTGAATGTGAACCCAAACTAGTAAACTAAAAAAATGATTCTGACTTTTAATGTCGACCAATATTATGGGACGTGTGTGACAGGTTGAGAAATTCCTTCTTGGATATAACCATTCATTCCACTCTTTTTACTACTTTCTACATGTTTGCTATACGTAAAATAGTCACCAAATCAAATGGCCGAGAAATGTTAGCGATGTTTTTGGTGTGATATTATAACAAACTTCAATTGACAATCTTTAATAAATTTAGTTACATATTCATGAGTTATATTTTGACAGATAAGTTTAATACAATTCAAAATATACTAAACATTTTTTTAAATAAAACCAACGTAAGATAAAACACCTCACAAATGCATACTCGGGCAAAACTAATTGGAGTCTCAACTTGTTTGTTCCGTGTTCACCTCATCTCAAACGACTGTTTATAAACTTTCTTCTATTTTTTTCAAATCACCGAAACTCAACTTGAAATTGTTTTCTTGTTTCAGTCACGTGATCCAATCAATGCGGAACCGCTCTGCACCTAAGACCATTAAAATTGAATTAATCCTTCTAAGTTTCTGACTTTTTTAGCTAGAACAAGTTTTACGTTCAATATTTTGAGATTTAATGATGTGTTATCCACGACAAAAGTAAATTTGTTTAAATTACACAAGCTGAAATAGAGTTTAGTTTTTTAGTTTTGCTATTTGCACAAAACTAATTAAGATAAATGTCAATGTTTTGAATGGTAGTCACATACAAAGATGTTTTGCATGCTGACGATACATACCTAACACGATTTATACAAACAGGTGAACATACACACACGCATACAACAATCAAACACACATACATAAGCATACATACGTACATACAATACACGCATAAAATCTAAATAAAATTATTCAATTATTTTTACAGAATGGTGCCACTGGTCAACAAGTTGCAACCTTTGAAAAATAGTTTTTTTTAACTACAAGTTTTCCATATTTCTGTCATATCAGCTTATCGTCGGAATAGCATTAGCTCAACGTTCAGCGAAAATCAGAATAATCTCCCGCTATAATAAAATCTGTCTTCGTCTGCTTTTGGCACGTGTGTGGCGCGTTTGTGAATGACATTTATGTTAGTATATGTGCGTGCGTGCGTGTGTGTGTGTGTGTGTGCCGAATCATTACTGTGGATTTGTGCTTATGCGAGTATGACTGTGTGTGATGTATGTTTATGTGTGTGTGACTATACAAATTTTTGCAAATATTAGTGCGAATGATGTGTTTTTGTATAAATGTATATAAGAGGGAGAGAGAGAAAGAAAGAGAGAGAGAGAGAGAGAGAGAGAGAGAGAGAGAGAGAGAGAATTTGTTTGCACGCACGTAAGTGCATGTGCGTGTGAGATTTAGTTTCTCTGAATGTATTGCTCCTTCGCAACCATAGTCTTTTTTTTAATCGTCATCATCGTCATATACGTCATCTAATCAATAACATTGGCAACAATGATACCACTAAAATTGTTGCCAACAAAACCGTCATCATCATCGTCACGGTCATCTCCATCCTCTTAGTCGTTATCATCGTCCCCCCCGGCCATCACCATCGTCGTCTTCATGGCCGATATCATTCTCAAATTTCAATGTCAACGCATTGCATCCAATTGAATGCCTTCATGTTAGAATAGCGTAAGCGAGTAAAGCGCATCGACATTATCGTAGTAGTGATTAACTTTTAGTGTGTATATGATTTTTATAAAAACCTTCTTTTTCTTGTTGTTGTAGTTATTACGTTTAATAAAATTATAAATCTTGTTACATCGTCGTTATCATGAACTCTGTTACTTCAACACTTCATGTCGTTTAATTTTGTTTCGACGTGTTATAATATCCACGCATTTGCATATCAAAAAGCGTGCCCTTCTGTCCTATGCGTGTTGTTGTATGCATGCGTGTGTGTGTTTGCGCGCGTGTGTGTTTGCATGTGTGTGTGTTTGTGTGCGTTTGTGTGTGTGCGTGTGTGTGTTTGTGAGTGCTCATTTCTACGCGCACACATGTGTTTAGAAATTTACTTTATGGTGAAGTAACCGCCGTGACGATGATTGTAGTAGCAAGGTTGGGGATTACTTTAAAATTTGTCATGTTAGATTTTGCTTATCATTTTCTGGGAAAGTCACCCCTAAAAAAACTAAATTTGAGTTCTCAGATTAATGTTGGTGAAAAAAATTTTTCTACAGAACTTCAAAGAAAAATTTTTAGTTTTTCCAACTATTTTTCATTGGAAGATTTTATGTATTTATAATAATTGACATGATGTATGTTAGTTTCAAAATGTTTAAAAATTGTTTAAATTAAAAAAAGTTTCAATATTTGATTTGATTTGATTTGATACATATATACATACATACATACATATTGTGTATTGGTCTCCGCACAGGTTGGCAGATTTAGATTTATGTTATAAATTCGAATAAATTCGTATTTAAAATTATATATCCACATTTATTTTAATTTTAATTAATTTTAATTAAATGTTCGTATTTAATCTTAAGTTATATATCCGGTTTTAATTTTAAGTTATATAGTTATATTTAAGTAATATAATTTAAGCGGCACACAGGTGCTTGGTTTTAAAGTTGTCTTTCTACAATTTTTTATGTTATAAGCCTTATGTACAGTTTACAATAATAATAATTACAATAATTTTATGTTATAAGCCTTATGTACAGTTTACAATATAATAACAGTTTGCCTTGCTGGTTTCTTAATGTTGAGTCAAGGACATGTACCAAGTACGACTTCCCTCACTCTGTGCCATGTGTGTTATAAACATTTTAAAGTGAGGCAGGATGGTACTCTCGTTAGACATGGCGGAAAAGTGAAAGGCTCAGAATGTCCGGGATCTTTGAAGCACCCACCTTCGAGCAGAAAACGAAGGTCGCTCAATGTCGTCAACGCCAACATCTCAAAGACGAGTGAAGACTCGAGGGTCCTTGATACCGCTGTCGATATGAAGAGTAAATCGTCACTGGCTGAAAAATTTTTTGAAAAATCATCGGGCTGTCGGTTAGTTGACCATGTGCCCAAGCAATCACGTGGTAAGTTTGGCCGGATGTTGAAGGATATTTTGAAAAACATCTGTGATAACCCATCAAATGCCATTCTCTGGTTCAGGTTGCTATTCATTCCCCGCTTGATTCTCCGAAAGAATCTTCGAGGTGGAGGAAAAAAAAACATCAGCGCAAAAATTAATAGCAAATTAGATGCTTTTGGAGAGGGCTCATTGGAAGAGTTGATAAAATCTGTCGAACCAATTGTAAGGGGCAAGATGAAAGGGTTCGTAAACCAAAGCTTAGTGCTTTAGTCAAATGCAAAATAGATCAGGGAAACGTGAGAAATGCTATGAGGATTTTAGCATCGACGGATACGATGGCTCCGGATTCGGCAGACACTATCAACTCCCTAAAGAACAAACATCATCCCGCTCCGTTAGACAGAAAACCAAGTCCCAACAAAGAATCGACAAGCGTTACAGTTAATCCCCAACAAATTATGTTGTGCTTGAGGCAGTTTCCAAAAGGAACCTCAGGAGGTAGAGATGGTCTAACCCCACAGCATTTAAGGGATTTAACGCATGATAAAATAGAAACAGCAGAACTTATCAGTGCCATGACCGGTTTTATCAATCTGCTGTTGAGTGGCGTTTGTCCACCCGAGGTAGTTCCATACTTGTTTGGCGGGAGATTGGTGGCCTTGTCAAAGAAGGATGGTGGTGTCAGACCTATTGCCATTGGATGTGTATGGAGACGCTGGGCTGCAAAATGTGCGTTATTGGTCATCAAGGACAGGGTGGGTCCAATTCTCCAGCCTCAGCAGGTCGGTGTCGAGATTAGCGGTGGAGCAGAAGGAGCGATACACGCTGTCAGGCGATTCGTCAATAATATAAAGGAAGATGAAGGCTTTCTAAAACTTGATTTTTCAAATGCTTTCAATTCGATTCGTCGTGACCATATGCTTCAATGCGTCAAATCTCGGCTCCCAGAAATTTTCAATTTTTGCTGGTTGGCGTACGATGCTGATTCATTCCTGTCACTTGGTAACAGCATCATTTTTTCATCAGAAGGTGTGCAACAAGGGGATCCTTTGGGACCGTTGCTCTTTTCGCTGTCGATCGACCCACTGGTAAAGGCATTTCGATCTAAATTTGTTGTCGCATACTTGGACGATATTGCGTTGGGGGGATGTGTAAAGGACCTAATGGATGATGTGGAATTGATCAACAGTAATGGTCGTGAATATGGTCTCAAGTTGAATTTAAAAAAATGCGAAATCACTACAAATTCAACAGCTTTATCTCTCGCCCAATCAAATATTAAAAGAATTGAAATGAATGACCTAGAATTTTTGGGTTCGATAGTTTGTAGAGGAAAACGCCATGATAATTTTTGGGCTAAAAAGCTGGAGGATTTTAAACATATTATGTCAATGATGACGGAGATTGGCAAGCATGACGCCCTTGTCCTGTTGACGCAGGCAGCATTCATTCCAAGGCTGTCATACTTTTTACGTACATCTCCTGGCCCGTCTCAACAAAAGTCAGATGAATTCAACAACGAACTACGCATGGGTTTTCAGAAGATATTTAATGTGTTTTTTGATGATAAAGGTTGGAAGCAGGCTATATTGCCGGTAAATATAATGGACATAAATGTGTGTTCGCAGAAGAAATGGAATGAACCATCTTTGAATGTTTCAAAATCGAAACTGGAGGAATTAAATGACTCTCCCTCAGATAAGGCCAGGTTGATGGCCGTCAGAAGTGAATTGGGGTCTGCTTGGCTAAGGGCCATTCCCAGTACAGCTTGTGGTACAAGGCTCGACAATGGTTCTATTAGAGTGAGTTTATGCTTGAGACTTGGGTTGCCGGTGGTGTCAGGTTACAGATGCTTGTGTGGGGCGGATGTTTCTCAGTTGGGTCACCATGGCTTATCGTGTAGGCTTGGTTCAGGAAGACAAGCAAGACACTCTGCCATGAATGATTATATATGCAAATTATTCCAGAAAGCAGATATACCCGCCGTTAAGGAACCAGCAGGCCTACTATCTGAAAGCAACTTCAGGCCAGATGGTTACACCCTGGTACCGTGGTCCCAAGGTTGTTGTTTATCATGGGATGTGACGTTCCCTCACACGTTAGCCGAAAGGTACATCAATTACACGGCTATGGAGCAAGGTTCCGCCGCGGTGAAGGCTGCTGATTTCAAAAA